ACACTCACACGCACGCACGCACGCACGCACGACGCACACGCACGCACGCACACGCACGCACGCACACGTCTAATATACATCCCCTCCTCAAATATCACGCACACACGCACCCACGCACGACACCACACACGCACGCACGCACGTACGCACGCACGCCACGCACGCCACACGCCACGGCACGCACTCACACACCACACACACGCACCTACGCACGCACGCACACGCATGCACGCACGCCACGCACACACACACACACAATCACCACACACACACACCACACACACCATCACACCACCACACACACACACACACACACGACACTCACACACACACACCACACACACACACACACACACACAACGACACAACACACACACACACACACACACACAACAAACACGCCCCACATGACGTACGCGCACGACCGCTGTTTATATATATATATACTATATATTGCCATCATACGTACTGCAGACAGTAGAAATCTCACACCAGGATTATATCCATAGATATAATACAGCAATGTGTTTGTATAATACCTATGATCTATCCCTTACCTGACGTGTCACGTCACTGACCTGTACTAGTTAGCCACTGCTGCTAGCATGCGTCCTAACTATGAATGCTATATGCCTGTCTATATTAGGACTATGCGTCATGCGATACACCGCCCAGCCAAAACATTATAAGCGTTATCATAATTCACTAAATCTTCACAATCAGAGCACGCCGGATACAACCGGCACTGCCACGCGTTGATTCAGTTTTCCAATTTTCATTTTTTCCCGCGCGTCAATGACAATTTCCGCGGAATGCTGACAATATTGATCTCATGCCTGTAATATTAGCGGGCACGACACCCCTATATTTGCATGCACTCACACTGCGCGACTGCGAGAGGTGGCACAATCATCTTCACCAGCACCACAACGCTACGGACCCTCCCAAGCGACGCGTGCACAATCACAACCATCGATTGAGAATTTCGAAGATCATCGATCCGCGAGCCAATCAAAATCAGCGGCGTTGGATTTAAGGAGGCCATCTGATCGCGAAGACCCCTAACATAACCGAGACGGGAAGGTATTACAGCGCCTTAAAGTCATGTGATGCCGACGTAAGCTATTGCCACCACCACACCATCGGCTTGGTCGAAACTGATAAGCATCAGTTAGCTTGAGAAAGCTCCTGGCTGGAGGCTAAAACGTTAAGCTGTACGTTTCCAATCTTCGACGTTGCAAGTAAAATTAACCCTGTGGATATCTGGTATTATTAGTACGCAGCGCTGATCCGCTTGCATATATGACCAACACATACCTCATGAACGAGCAATCCATGTATTACTAACAAGGGGCGCCTATTAAATTCTGCTCGGTATAATCATTTAAGCATAAAATGTCACGCCATCGCATCCAGTTTAGTCTTGATTTACACTGCTAAATGAATGAGCAGATGAGGCATTAATTAAGATTGCTAATTTCAATGGCATTATAAGTATTTTCGTTGCTAATAACGAACTCGTCTTCTGATAAAGAAAACATCTCCGCCGCGGTAAAACGCAAACGCTTGCGCGTCTGCTTGCGCGTCTTCGTGTGCTGTTGTCGAATATCGATCAGTGAATAACATCGCGGACTTTGGGCGCGATTATAGCCTACGTTACGTAAGAAACATTTTACAAAAATGTAATTCATATGATCGTTTCAGTAATAGAACTATATACTCTGACCTTTTCATTTACTTCACGCGGTTGTGGTCCATTTGTTATGTTATTCTCGATGGCATACTAAAGTCCGTTATGTGATCCATGTGATTACTAGGTGTGCCGTAAAGTCTAGTCCGATGTAAAAAGTCTTATACGGTTTTATGTAAGCTTCTCGTTTATATTGTGTGCTAGCGTGTGCGACCGCTAAATGTGACCGCAGCAGTCATTTTCCTTATGATAATATTGCCATGTTGCCATTATGGTTATTCGCAGAATGAGGGGGTTGGGTTGGGCGTAGATAGTTAACCAAGCAGATTAGGTGTAGAGAGCATGAATGACTTGTTGTTGATCATCCTCTTTGCTCTAGGCTCGTCGTCGCCTTCTCTCGGCTCGGCGTGTGTGTTGTGGTGTGGTTGGTCTGAGCTTTCTCCTTAGCTTCGTCGACACATAGAGATCTACAAGATTTACATGCTCGCGCTGGTGGGACTGCGAGCGCTCACACGTCTCTTCACCCCCCCTCTTATCCTCTCTCATCTCTCTCTCTCTCTGCTCTTCTCTTCTCTCTCTCTCTCTCTCTCTTCTCTTCCTTGGCCTGTCTCTGCTTCTTCCCTTCTTCTCGTATTATCTCTCTCTCGTCTCTCTCTTCTCTCTCTCTTCTCTCTCTCTCTCTCTCTCTCTTCTCTCCTTGTCTGCTCACGCCTCCTCGTCGGTGTTCTCGTCTTATCTCTTCTCTTCTCCCTCTTGCTCTATCTCTCTCTCTCTCTCTCTCTCGTCTCTGCCTCTCTCTCTCTCCCTGCCTGTCTCTCTCCTC